TGCCCGGTGTCAGCTCTCGGCTGCTGCTCGGCCGCTTCCTCGGGCTCGATAAACTCCTGCCTAATCCTCTTGGTGACGAGGCTGCGCAGGGGATTAGCCTTTCTCCTGCTCTACCTTTGGTGGCCATAATGACAGTTGCTGCTCTGCCACCCCTCATTTGCTCTCCTCAGATTCATCTTCTGCAAGAAAATGAGCTGTGACTTATTTTTAACTACTACTTTTAGCTTTCATTAGCATTTAGGTAAAAGCCTGTGCAGCTCTCTCTGACTCCCCGTCCACGGCCAGGCCCTGGCTGTCCTGAGGATCTTTAGTCACTCTGGCTGTTTAGGAAGAAAAATAGAAGTCTTCAGAAATAAAATAGAAGTTTTAGGCACGACTGCCAGAGTCAGACTCCAGCGTCCGTCTCACAACCCTCCTGTAGATGATGGTGCTTACGGTCCCAAAGCGATGGGGGACCCCGCACTGTCCACCCCTACTGTATGGCAACACCGCAGGGAAGCTGCTGCTGCAGAGCTGTGGCTGTCAGTGCTTGTTCTGGGACAAGTGACGGGTCCTTCTGCTGGGACAGACTGCACGGGGCCACACAGCCTCTTAATCTCACCTCTGTCCTGGCAGCCGAAGGGCTGCTGCGGGTCAGGAGGACCAGGCAGGGAATAGCCACGCAGCAGCAGAATGAGGCGCCTTTAACCGTGAAGCAAGCATTTAGGTTTCTGCCCCGATCAATGTGCTCGCTCCCCAGGGCTGCTGCCATCAGCCACTGTCCTCATCCGGACAGGCTGTCCCCTTCCTTTAGTGACAAACACTGCCGGAGGCAGGAAAGGTCGTGTTTTCCCCTTGTCCCTGCAGCACCCCTAACGCGCATCACAGCGAAAGCAGAACCGATCGACACTTTTGCCACAAAACATGGCTGTACACACAGGACTCCAAACTGCACGAGCTCTTTGCTGTTTCTCTGCAGGTAAATGTTATGGCCAAAAAGGTACAGCAGCTTTGCTCGAGGTCAAAGTGGTGCAGCAAAGATTTTTACCCTCTGAAATTCAGGCGCTCTTGCTGTTCTTCCTTTAGAACAGCAGCAGTAGTGGGAGAAAAACTGCTTTTGTACCCAGGCCAAGGAACCAAAAACCATCAGCTAAGACTTCTTTTTTCCAGAACTGTGAAAAAGCAAGGCCTTTCAGGCGTTTGTTACTTCCTAGGTCTTCCACCCCCCTGTATTTAACCTTTGTAACTTAAAACACAAGAAAGTAGGACAGCTTTGCAGCTCACGCATTAAGCCGTTACATCCCGACACCCCCCGGCTAAGCAGCCGCCAGCCCCGACAGCAGTGAGTGCCAGCCGCCAGCGCTGCTGCGGGAGAAGCCAGCTCCCACCCTGCGCAAACACGGAGCTGCCGTCATCCCTGAGACAGGCAACAGCACGAGGGACAACTTCGCTCCTACCCCTTGGCCTTCACTCCCACGTACCGCTCTGCGCTGAGCGGGCTGCCCGGGGGGAGCTCAACAAGACCCGACACCAGGAAAGCGGAGGCTCAGCGGAACGGAATGAACGCTGAGCTGTAATAAGTGCACAACACGCACTGGGGGGCTGCAGTGACACGGCTTTGCCCACGGCACTCCCTCTACCGCAACGTTTAAGCAGACACAAGCGCCTTACGACGCCAGTAACAACGGCAATTTACCGCCTTGAGTGAAGCAAAGCTTCTTTCAACATCAGCATCGCTGTCTTCACCCGGCTGCTGTGAGAAGCCCCCAACGCTCCTCCCTCCGTGTACTCTTCCAGCGGCAATCCAGACCGCTCGTCCCTCACCGGTGGGCATTATGCCACCACCAGCAGGAACTGACTGACACCCAAGTGCCACCTGAAGCGCGATTAGTTGAACACAGCTGGAGACCAGTGCCTGGCAATCCTTTCAATGTTCAATGATACATATAGCAGAGGAAAACAAGCGCAACGGAAACCTCCGAAGGGTCACAAGACAAGGAACAGCTACTACGCAAAAGTGGAAGAATTCCAGCAAAGTCCTCATAAAGCAGATGGAGAGTAAAAAGCACTAAGAGTCAAATTTTGGACTGAACAAAACATGAGAAGAGAGACAAACATGTAACTTTATTGTTTATGTACAAATGACAGAAGTTTGTATTAAAAAGAGAATCCACCCAACCTCAAAGATAGCAAAGAGCAAGATGGCTTTGAGCTCCAGCCTTCCCTGCATCTTTAGATACTGCCTAAATTTTAGGGGATGGTGTTTAAAATTAGAATTAGAGAAAAGGGTTAACCACCTTCTTCTCTGCTTGAGTAAGAATCAAAATGAGCTGTTCCACAAAATGAAGAACCTTCCACTCTACATGGATTAAAACAAATAAATCAAAAGTCAATTTGTTAACTATACACTTTGGTTTAAACAAAAACAATAAAAAAACCCAAACAAAAAATCAAGAAAAAACCAAAACAAAACCCAAACTACAAAGCTAAGTATCAGCAACAAAAGTAATCTAAGTCTTACAACACGGATGGGACATACTGAATCATACCCCAGTTCCAGCGGAAAAAGGAAAACCTCTCCACGGGTTTGCAGATGACAGGGGTGGCAGCAGCAAGATCAGCCAATTTTAGGAAGTTCCCGACTGAGGTGGAAGCACAGAATAGTCAGGAATTCAGGACTACGACTACTACTACTACTACTACACCTTAGTCTTCCTGCAACTCAGGTGATTTAAAAATGATGCAAAGTACATGGTCCAAGATTTTCTCCCCCATGTAAGTTCTTTCGAGTGAGCCACTCCCATCTGCAGACACTTGGCCAGAGAGCTGCCATCGCGCTCATTCAGTCGACTGGCATTTTTCTCAGTGGGGATTCATGTAGACCTAAATCCCAGAAGCATCAGCACTGATGAGTCTAGTAGTCCTGCAGAGAAAGGAAAGGACAGGCACATTAACGACTTTCTACTTCCAATTCTGCTTGCAGAGCGGGGATTCTCAGTCTTCTCTCATTTCTACATGCCACTAGTTGCAGGCAAAACAGAAAAGAGATTTTTTTTTTCTTGTAGCTAACCATTCAAAAGAAAGGACCCTTTAAAACCTTAGTTCAAGAACACATCAACCAAAACCAGATGCTTTTAATGTTCCAGATCATGACAAGATAACAGGACGCAAACCAGCTTTTTCCATAAGGAGTGCACAGGACTTAACTGCGACCTAGCTTCATAACAAGCCTACCTGGGCTTAATTATTGTTAAATCCACAGGACAATGCTTATTTCATACCATGATATTCCTCAACTGTGAAAATAAGATCTTAAACTACAGCAGAGGGAGGCTTGGTGAGATTAGGAGTCAGTCAGCCACTCAAGTCTACAGATGAGCAATGAAAACAATGACAGAGCACTGATACTTACGGCTCTTGGCTTTTTGTTTAACTTGAGATCAATCCTGTGGTTGGAAAGATAAGAGAAATGTCCATTTCAATACATTAAACCAAGACTAGAGTTCAAAGAACCAGCTACTGCATATGGCACAGGCTACAACAAAGACTATTTGGTTAATGCAATCCACATTCTCAATTCGGCTGAGCCAAATCACTGTCCCAGTGTTACTGGGCAAGAGAGCAGCAAAGAGACGGAGAGTGGATTCTTTATTATTCCGTCCGCTCAAAAAAAGAGTTAATAAAGGTTCATAATAAGAATCACAGGGCAGTTATGCAGCATAAAGAAATCAGGTTAAATATGCATGCTCTACGTTAATTTGTTAGACGTGTAACTATGCCACAGGTAATTATTCAGACATAGTGGTAACGGTTATTTACTTGGAAGAGAGATAGGAGTTTAAGATGACAGGGATTATATGAGTCAAAGGTACTGAGTTCATTACGTTTTTCCAGAAGGAAATATCCAAGTCTACACTAATCTTCTTAAGAAGCAAAGCCAGAAGAATCAGTTTTTAAACTAAGTTTTTAAGTTAAAAAGTTTATCATCTATTTAAAAATGAAATAGAAAGGTAAAGAAGAGTGAAGTTAATTTAATTTTGCTGAAGTTATTAAATAAAATGTTACCTCCATCACGCTTTTCTGTTTTTAAAAAAAACTTCCCAGCCTAACCTAATATACATACCTACAATTAAACAGATAAACTATGGGTTAGAAAGGTCTCAAAAGGCACATTGGTGTCTACACACTAACAACACAGCACAAGTACTAATTCAAGTCAAACTTACTCAAAGTCATAATCAAACATGCCAGACGGGCTGAGGGGCAGCATTTGAAAGGAAGAAAGCAATAGAAATTAATATACTAATGAATTAAATAAATTAGTTGATTAGCCACCCTAGCTAGATTACTAAAAAATAAAATAAAATAAAATAAATAATAAAGCCAGTGTTCAAATGCCATAAAGTTCTTAAGACATCTTAACCAGAACCGGGCACAAACAGCACTCCAGATTTGGCAATCCAGAGTCCCCCTCCCCAACTGGATTTCTGGGAAGAAGAGGTGTTAGAACAGAGGCAGAGGGGGTTTATGGAGGGAATTTTAGGCGCTGAGAAAGGCAGCTATCAGACACTCGCGAGGGCAGACCAGCTCGCAGGCAAGAGGAAAACTGATGTGCTTGCAAACCCAAAGGAGCGGGAGGTCGGCCAGCAGCGGGCTCGTCGGGATTACGGGGCAAAGCAAAGCTCGGTCAGAGGCGGAGAGGCGGAGACGACACAGAACTAAGTGGCCAACTCTGCATTCGAATATCCCCATACCGCACACGCATCCACACGCCCTCGCACTCGCTTCCTTTAGAAGAGCGAAAAAGAGAACACGGTCATTCGGCCAGAGCTAATTACAGCCTGGTGACATTCCCCCCCTCGCCTCAGCGCGCACACGGATCCTGCAGCACCGTCTCCAGACACAGCTCTGCCCCAAAGCTAACCACTGTGTGTCTTGGAAAGGACTTATCACCAAATCAGCTGTAACTCAGTAGCTTTTCAGCACTGAATTTCTAAGAGGAAACGGCATTGTTTTCTCCTGAAATACTTCTTAGCCATGAAAATTGCTGAGCGCAGAGAACACAATCATCTTGGCCTTCCTGTGGTCGCAGAGGGAACAGAGGATGACTTCAATAAAGACACTGTAACTTCCATCCGATTCCCTAGTTTTAACTGTTTTGAACTTAAACTGCCCATTCACACCAGTTCTGCCCAGTCTGAATCCAACCTTCCACCCCGCTCTTGGTGGCGTATTGAGTAGGAAATCCAGTGGAGTCAGCACACCCTGAGGGTGCCTGTTCCCAACGCCTCCCAGTTCTGCAGGAACAGGTAAGCAGAGCTCATACATGTGCTGGCAAACGGGAGAGCTTCTGATCAAAAAGAAATGCCGTTATTTCTTTTTATTTTTCTCTTTTTTTTTTTTTCATTCCATGGCACTCAAGAAACAGACAGGCAGGTCTCTCCTAAAGAGCACTCTGGGCTGCGACACATTTTAAAGCACTTAGCTATGCTTTTGGTAAGCTGGGACTGGTTCGTTGTTTGGTTTTTTTAACCTAGATATACTTGAAAATTGTTTGATCTTTTCTGCCAAAACTCAGGGGACAGTCAGTAACAGCAATCACAATTTTAACGGAGTTTTTATTACAGACAAACTTAATTATCACCTTCTTTTAACTATCTATCTGGCCACGCTAAGTATTACAAAATAGTCAATTACTAACTGCAAAAGCCCTTCCGTAACATAGACGTGTCTGCTGTGTCTCTGAGGATGACAAGAACTGCCGTACCGGGTCAGACCAGGGCTCCTCGTGTCCAATATTCTGTCCCCGGCAGCAGCCAGCACCAGCTGCTCCAGCGGGAGGAACGCAGAAGAAACCCCAACACCACAACCTGTCGGTAGGGCTGTTTCTTCTAATTCCTGTCACTAAAGTTCGGGTTGTGTAACGGAACAAAAGAATGTACGTTATTTACAGCATCTGCACTGCACCCCACCGCGCCTGCAGCAGGCCGGTCTGCTGTCCAGGTAAGTGCTTTGTAGAATAGCTTATAATTTGTTTGAAATAGCAATTTTCTTAAGCTGTACTTCAGTTTTACAGATTGTTTCTCTGAACTTGTTTACAGATGTAGTGTCTTTCCAAGTGCCTACAGGCAAAAAAAAAGAGTTTTGAACTGCTCTGGACTCCCAGCTCACGAGGAACCACCGGGACATCCAGCACTCTAAACGTTTGCCCCATTAGCACTGCTGTAGGAAGAAAATTCTGATCTAAGAATTAAAGACACACTAATGACTCAAAACCTAATGAAGGAGAAAAAGTAGTTAAGCATTTTTCAAGCACTATACCTACCTCTGGATCTCCCAAACCAACCTTGCCCCAGCAACCTTTGTAAATTTTTACCACTGTTCTTTAAAACATTTCTAAAACATTTTCTAATTGTATGAGAAGGCCCCCCAGAGAGGAAAGCCCATCCATACACAAAGCCAACAAGCTCAAAACTAGCAGGAACATTTGATATTTTAAAAGCTCCTTTACTTCTAATATTCGTTAAGTACCAGTTCCAGCAATCACTTCAGGAGAGGCGCAGTTCTCCAGTAAATGTCTCCTCTTCCCAAAAGCATGGATTTCCACGTTTCTCTCTCCTTAGGGCCTGACTCCGCAGTGCACTATCATACTCGGTAGAAATCCTTGGGCTACCTCTGCTGAGGGGCTCCGAGACACGGTTAAGCAGCAGGTTATGTGGCCCATGGAGAGCAGCACCGTAAGGCAGGAGCTTATTTCAGATTTCTGAGCTGTCAGCCCACCGTGCTGCATCCCACCTCCGGGGCACACCTTAAGGGGCAGAACCGGTCATCGAAATGTTCAGGAAAGCTTTGTTTCACATGAATTTCAGGTCAGTTTAATAACAAACACTTTGAGGTGAACATGACAAAGCAAGTCTTCTATGCCATAATCAAAAGAGACTCAGATCGGGACACTGAAAACTGAAAGGGAATGGAAATCTTAGTGAAGAGCATCCACAAAACATCCCAAGTTGCTTTTTCACCCTTCTGTTCCAAAGAAAGCACTGACATCCCTATCTTACGTGATTCTGCAGAAACCAAGAAGCAAGCACAGGAGCCAGGACTGCAGTTCTCCTCTACTGGAAGGAAGACGGCTTTATTCTCCCGGCAGACAGGAGAGTTGAAAAGGCCAGGTGAAAAGCACAGCTGTACCACAGCTGGAGTCAGCACCCTGTGCTCACTGCTCGTTTAACTTCTCCAGCGTGTTTCCCCTCCCTGACACCACGGGGGCAATGGGGTCCTGACGAACGCTACAGGATGCATGCAACTAAAAACCAGGCAAATCACCAAAACAAATGACCCGAGCTGCTCGTTACTCTAACAAGTTACTAATTCCTTTCACATAATACAGTAAATTCAGCAACAGCTAACCATTCAGAAGGCATGGCGAGAAGGCTGCTGGTACCACTAACCTGTGTCGATTTTTGTTCTTCCGTTTTTTGTGGCTGCTGTGGTGGCTCCCAGAAGAAGTAGAGGAAGCAGCTTTCTGGGGTTTCACCCCCTGCACAGACCCATCCAGCTCTTCAGCATCCTCCTGGTTGGGCTCATTCTCCTGGTTGTGAAAGTCTGGAGAAGTGTCACTTTCTGTGCCACTGCCTGGCTCCCCTAGAGCATGACAAACACAGACGAGCGCGGTGGTTACCTCCCCGCCACCCACAGCCCAGGCTGCCCTGGCAAAGCAACCCCAGCAACAGCACACGGGGCAGCAGAGACACGCTGAGCCTCATGGCACCAGGAGGTAACGACAGAACCTGAAAAATATTTCCAAGGGACAGCAAGCTACCTGCTCAGCAACGGAAGCACACTAGAATTGCGTCTGATTCGGTACTGAGTACAGAAACGTTTTTAAAAATCCTGAATGTCAGTGGCTCCTCCCCACGTCACTTGCAACTGGACTGACAGACGCACAAACAGAAACGCGTTGCTTCAGCCCTTCTAGCTTCTTTCTCCTAAGAGCACCAAATCTATTTAAATAAGTTTTATGCACAATAAACCCTTGCTGAGCATAAAAGTTTACTCAAGAAAGGAAGATCAACTTTAATTCTGTTTCTCACAGTGCCGCTTTGCTGACTTGTGCCGCTAGAGGTTGTGCAGGGAGCGCTCCGGAGCCGGCGGGAGAGGACCAGCCGCAGGTCCCTGGACGGGGAGCGCTGCGGGGGAGCAGCGAGTACGGCACAGGTCCAGACAACTGGAGACAGGGCTGAACTGTGGGAGAAGTGTAGCTCTTTCCAAATGCTGAGAGAAACGAAGAAGTGACTTACGCTTCTCAATGAGCTGGTCCTGAACTCCAGCTAATGCACTGACCGCCTAGAAAACCAAAAGGGGCGTCAACGAAAGCAGTACGTCACCACTTTTCAAACATTCAACACCACAGAGATCACCTCACAGAGATCACAGAGAAAGATGCATCAAGAGCTTACGGCCAAGCACCGGCACGGCACTGCAGAGGGGGGTTAGGAGCAAAAAGAAAAAGACAGGGATGGCAGTGACAAGAGCGTGACACGGGTGGCTCTTGCCTGTGTTTCCCTTCCGTCTCTCGGGGCACTGTGAAAAGGGTTTGTGACAGAGGCTGTGATGGGGGTGAAGATGCTCGGGTCAGGGGAGACAAGGCAGGTACAGTGGCTGAAATGGAAAACTGGTCCTGCGGCAGCCCGGAGGACCACCATGGGACCAGCTGCACCGAGGGGCACCACGGGCAGGCGATGGGGACAGGGATGAGGCCAGAGACCGGGATGGGGACAGGGACAGGGACGGGGACAGGGATGTCTGCTGGGTCCCGCGGGGCCCGGCCCAGCACTCACCGCTGCCGAGGTGACCGAGGACTTGCTGAAGAGCCTCTCGGCCTCCTTGAACTTGCGGTTCCTCCGGTCGTTTTTGCTGTTGGAGTTCCTGGAACAGAGACAGACAGACAGACCGACCGACCGACGGCATCGCGGGGGCCCGGCGGCGCGGCGGGGGCCGGGCGGGGCCGGGGGGCGGGGGGCGCCCT